GGGGGGGGAGGCGGGGGGGGGCGATGGGCGTTCCATGCAAGGGGGGGGGGGGGGGGGGGGGGGGGGGGGGGGGGGGGGGGGGGGGGGGGGGGGGGGGGGGGGGGGGGGGGGGGGGGGTTCGATTGGCCGGATTGTTCACTGCAAGCTGTAGAGCTTACGAGTGCATGTCCTCATACTGTTCCTGATTGACAAGCAAGAAGATACACATTAATTGCATAGCAAGCAAATGGCCTCGCTGTAGCACGATGAGAGGTCCTTCACTTCTGCAGATTGCATGGCACAAGGAGGGAGGAGGTTCATTCTGGTCTCCACAGTCTCTGTCAGGCACTTCTGGCTTTGATAACCCCCTCTGGCTCTGGCATGCGTTCTGGAGGCAGATCATCTTCCATCAGGGGTTCCATCAAATGATCAGAGGGGGGATCATTGTCGTTAGGAATGGCGGAGCAATCGGGGCAAAGTGGATGAGAAGTGGGTGTGTCAGATGCAAAGAGCCTGAAGCTGATCAGCCGCACTTGTACTCAGAGTGGCTGCTACTCGTGCAAATGCTGCACAGGTGGCTGCACCTTGTGTCTAGTGCACACTCAGCCCCACAGCACTGTAAAATCATCACTACATCGTGGACAACGGACTCTGTATCTCGCCACATTGTTCCTGGCTCACGTGTATTGCAAGCGGCGACGTCATTCGTAGGTAGGTGAGTAGGCAGGTAGGTCGGTAGGTAGGTCGGTAGGTAGGGAGGGAGGGAGAGAGGGAGGGAGGGAGGGAGGGAGGGAGGGAGGGAGGGAGGTATCCATTGATGGACATACATGTGTGAGGATCTACTGATTGATTGATTTTTCTAATCTTGTTCGCTCAGTACGTATGCAATCAAATTTAGATGTTTGCACTGTTGTGGCTTAAACAGTAGTTGTTTCTTGGGAGAAAACAGTGCTCAAGATTTGTCTAGGTGAAGAGATTGACAGATTGACGTCGACATTGATTAAGAGGTAAATTTGCGAGACATTAACTGAAGAAGAGATGGTCAGCTCGCTTCTCACAGATCGTTTGGTTCGTCGTCTGATCTCACACACAAACCAAGTCGTTGCAAAAAGCCAAATCGTTGACCATACCTTTCTCGGCCTTTTGGCTAAGATCAAGTGTAGTATCTGTTCTGATCAGTTTAATATCTGATACGTGGTCCATCGGACCACAAGAGATAAAAAAAATATAAAAAAATATAATTAAAAAAAAAAAAAAAATCGTTGACCAGTTCATGCCCAGGAATTCCGCTATGGCCAGTGCTCAATGGGTTGTTGACTTGAATGAAAAGATAAAGGAACACGTTGGAATGGAGGAACATGTTGGGATGCTGGCGAAGTGAGAGACAGGCAGGCAAATACAGACAGGCAACCAGGCAGGCAACAAGGCAGACAGGCAATAGACAGACGGGGGCAGAACCATCAACATCGGTACAGGACGCAAGCAAGCACTCATATGAGTCTGTCTCTATGTGTGCCAGTTTTCTGTGTGTCTTTTATGTATTTTATTATGTATTTTATTCTGTATTTTATTCTGTATTTTAGTATGTATTTTAGTATGTATTTTAGTATGTATTTTAGTATGTATTTTAGTATGTATTTTATTATGTATTTTATGTGTATCATAACAGTCTATTTTATCAAATTTTTAAATGTATTTTTTTATTTTTTACGTGCGTGTTCGCGGGTGTCATGTAGAGTGTGCATACGTATGCGCGTGAATGTGTGTGCTATAGAAAAGACACCCAATATCACTCCACAAACGGTCCAAAAGTCAAAAAAAAAATAACGTAATGACCCCACTGGCCTATCTCAGTGGGTACACCCCTGAACTGTTGAAATACAGACCCCCCCAAGTTCAAACTCCACTGGAAGCAGATGAGTACAACATTAAATAAACAAAAATTAGGTCATGAGTTCGAGGACTCCCAAAACTGTGTGGTTGAGCGGGGAACGACCACACGTGTGCCCGCTTGAGGATGCACTTGAACTTAGAAAAAACAACGAAACGAATCAGCAGACACCCACGTTGACAGAGGAAAACTCGACTCGTCAATCAACCTGCATTCGTAAATAAACAATCAAAAGAACAGGACTACGTGTGTGTGAGAGAGACAGAGAGAAAGAGAGAGACAGAGAGAGAAAGAGAGAGAAAGAGAACCGCGGTGTGCAAGACAAAATGAAAAAAAGAGAGGATATTCGTGCACGTACCGAAGCCAACTCCTCGACCTTGAAAGCCTGTGACCGTCATTTTCGCACTCCTAGCAATAACAACGACTACCTGATGAGAATTGCGGTGTGGCCAATTGCTGGCGGCAGAGACTCACAGGAAAAAAACAGGCGCAGGGCAGACATCCACCAGCCGTCATTGCCAGCTACACAGGCCTGCGATTCCCACGAGAAGAAAACATAAAAAGGATGCCCTCCGCTTTTATATTTTTTTTTTGTTTTGTTTTTTTTTATATATTTTAAGAAGACTTCTCCTCCGGTTCATTTCCCGGCCAGTGAACCAGAAAGAATAAATAAATAGTAAATAAATAAATGTGCTGCGATATTCACTCTGTCGGCATTCTGTGCGGGTTACGTCGTTCCACGCCTGGCAGTGTGAATACCGAATCCTGCAGGCGGGGGGGAGCGACTCAGCAATTGCGGGAAAAGGAAGCCAGAAAAAGAAGCGGGAAAAAAAAGGCGGGAAAAGGAATAAGGGAGAAAGAGCGGGCTCCTTTTCCCGCCTTTGCTGTGTAGCGGAATGGCAGTTCCATCTCCCGCCATTGCCTGCAGGATAATTCCTCCTAAGCAATGGCGATGGCGGGAAAAGGCGATGGCGGGAAAAGAAACTGCAACCCCGCTGCTCTGCTGCTTTGGCTCACGGAAACGGCCAGATGCCGACGACTGAACAATCCTCGGCCTTTCTTTTTCCTTTTTTTTGCCTTTTCATCCTCTTTTCTTTCTTTTTATTAAAAAAAGAAACACTCCTTTTTTTTAGCTAGCATTGTGACAATATACTAGAGTAATTTCCCACCCAGAAAGGGCGGGAGATAACAAAGCCTCTTTCTGTCTCACGGTAGCATTCACAGTGCGGGATATGCACAGGGCTGGAAAAGCCATCCCGCATACATTCACAAAGCGACGACAGAAAGAGGCTCTGTGAGACAGTAAGATACAGTGAGAGAGAGAGAGAGAGAGAGAATTGAAGTTGTCATTTCTTCTTCCTCTCCACACACATTCACAGACAGACGAAAGAAAGAGAGAGAGAGAGAGAGGGAGAGAGAGAGAGAGAGAGACAAAGAGGGAGATCGAAAAGAGAGATGAACCTGTCACTCGTTTTTCATTCTCTTCTTCTCCCTCCTCCTCATCTTCGTCCTCCTTCCTGCCTTTCCTCCTTTTTCTTGAAGGGCGACAGGCTTGAGATATCATCGCGAAACTGACCGGCCCTTGGTAATTCAGGCAATTAAAGTCCATGTGGTTCCCATCTGGATTCGAGCTCACGTCTGCATTTCATTTCAACAGTCCATGGGTGTACATGCTGAGCTAAGCCCGCCCTCCTCTACCGCTTTTTCTCTGTCAGATTACGGCAAGGCGATAGAGAGGGAGAGGGTAAGCCGAAATGATTATGATGATCGTCCTGCTTACTGACTTTTTTCCCCCTTTTGCACTTCCGCTTATTCGCCCTCCTCTACCGCTTTTTAGAGGGGGGGGGTCAGGTGACGACAAGGCGACAGAAAGGGAGGGTAAGGTCCAATGATTACAATGATTAATAAGAAAGAACACGAGGGCGGCAATAGGGATGATTATGCGGGGAAAGGTCCAATGGCAATGACGACTGATGTTGGTGTTCACCATGATGATGATGATGATGATGATGATGATGATGATGATCTTGATGATGATGATGATGATGATGATGATGATGATGATGATGATGGGCAGGAGGAGGACGACGACGTGGACTGAAGGAGGAGGATGACGATGGAAAGGTCAATGACAATGTTGATGATGATGATGATGATGATAATGGTAATGATGATGATAATGACGATGACGTGGAGGATTACAAGGAGGAGGACGATGAACAGGCCTGGGATGAGAACGTGTACATCTGGTTTTTTATCTTGACGATGATTCTCCCTTTCTGTTTCCGGCTACCTCATCGCCTTGTCTCCTCGTCGCTCTCCTACTACTACTACTACTACTACTACTACTACTAGTAGTAGTAGTAGTGCTACTGCTACTACTACTACTAGTGCTACTCGTCTTCCTCGTGCTCATCCTCCGCATTTTGGACTTACATCTAGAATGTCATTGAAAATTAAGAACTTTGCTACCCCAAAGAAATATATATTTCGACACAAGCACGGGCACACACACGCACACGATAAGTCGGTGAAATCCCGACGAAGCAGTCTCGCACGGTCATGCTCTTTCCTGGAGTTGTATAGCCAACATGACGACACACACACACACACACACACACACACACACACACACACACACACACACACACACACACACAGGGTTTCTAGGCAGACTGTCCGTGTTTAACGTTCTGATGAGTCGGTGAAAGTCCGACAAAACAATGTTGCACAGCACTGCTTTTTTTTTGTGGGATTGTGTGCAGCGAAGA